TCCTCCTCCTCCTCCTCCTCCTCCTCCTCCTCCTCCTCCTCCTCCTCCTCCTCCTCCTCCTCCTCCTCCTCCTCCTCCTGACCGCCACCGTCGCAGCAAACAGTAGTGCCATCGTCATCCTCCCGATCCTCGCCCCCCCTCGCTTCTGGCTCCTCGCCTCCTTCTCCACCGCTTCCTCCTCGCCCTCGCCGCTCCCAGCTTCGAGCCGTTGGGGCGGCGGGCAGTGCTCAGACAACTATTGGGAGGAGGAGGAGGAGGAGGAGGAGGAGGAGGAGGAGGAGGCGGAGGAGGAGAAGTAGAAGGAGGAGGAGGAGAAGAAGCTCGGGCCGAATGCCAAGTCGAACGCAAGAAGAGCGAGCGAGCGGCACCTGACGTCGACACTGCGCGATGCTGCGGATGCCCGACTCGGGGAGGGAAGAATGGCACGAGTGCGTTTGGCCACAGGCGACGCGAAGTCACGAGGCGCCGGACATACCAGCAGCTGGGGCCGCGGCAGAGCCAGCTGCGCACCGATGCGGGTGGACAGGAAGAAGAGCGGCCGCGGGAGATGGCAGGAGAGGGAGCCGCGTTCTGGACCGCGCAGCACCAGGAACGGCGTGCGCATGAACCCGGGAGGCATGGCCCGGGTTGGCCAGAGATTTGACCGCGGTTGGCTGGACGGTCGGCCGGGGTAGGTAGTTCTTCCCACCATGCATACATACAGTCAACCCGCATAGTAAGGATGGGCAAACTTCCCACGTGTACCCTTGCATCCTTGCCCCTTTCGGCCCAGCAATACCGACTTTCGCTGGCCAACGTCGATCGATAAACGTGCACATGGGCCTCCCAGAACCCTGCACCCTTACCGCGCGTCCTTATAGTACGGGTTGATTGTGTATACAAATATGTATACAGGTATACGCATCTATATAGATATCTATATCTATAGATATATATATATATAGATATATACACACACGTACGCTCGAAGTTTCGCGCGGATGTCGTGGCTCGGCGCTGGACCCTCTGGCGCCGCCCGCTCCGCGCGCCACGGAGGGGGGCCAGGCGCCGATCCAAGAAATGCGCGCGGGCCTCTTCAAGTTGATGCTTCTGCAATTGTGTCTTCCTCTCTGGGTGCAACACCCATCACATGTCGACGCACGGAATGAGATGTCAAAGGGGCCATCAGCAACGACACGTGGTATTTAGTCGTGCAGGCCCGAGCTCGTTGGGTGTCGGGTGATCGTGAAGCAGACGCCTTTGGAAGCTTGCTAATGGAACAGTGCCGATGAGGCTCACCTAGTTGCTCACATCTGTTCCCGATGCTTTCCAGCCAGCCTTCACCTAAAACCGTCCCCATTTCATCCGTACCTTCTGATGTTGAGCCTGCGGAGCGTGTTTCTTGGGAGCCTATCTAGACGTACTGAGCCGGCGTCAGCCATGTGTGATCCGCCCTGGCCATGTTGCAGCTGTCTTGGCCACAACTTAGGGGGGGCGATGAACCCTCAACCTGGCGAGAACGCCTGGTATGAAATCTGCAACACCCGGATCTCACGGGAGGAGAGGAGGAGGAAGAGGAGAACGAGGAGGAGGAGGAGGAGGAGGAGGAGGAGGAGGGGGAGGAGCAGGAGGAGGAGGAGGAGGAGGAGGAGGAGGAGGAGGGGGCGGAGGAAGAGGCGAGGAGGAAGAAGAGGAGGAGGAGGAGGAGGAGCAGAAGCAGGAGGTCATCGCGCTGAGCGCCCCAGAGTGCTCCGGTGGCCCTTCGCCGCACCGGGCTCGACAGCGAGCCGGCGCTGGCCGAGATCGCCGCGCCCGGTGCCCCTGGCGCTGCAGCTGTCGCGGCGCTCGTGCTCGGAGCCCCCTGCACGCGCCCAGCCCGTGCCGCAGCGAGAGGCCCTCTGGCGCGCGCCCTCGGGGCGCTCGGCCCGCGAGTCGGGGGAGGGCAGTCGAGACGGCGGCGGCCCTCCCCGGCGTTTTTTTGGGTCCGCGCTCCTCGCCGCCCTGGAGGGGCCCGCCTTGAACGCGGGGCAGGATGGAGCCAAGGAGGGGTCCGGAGGCCGATTTCGGCAGGATTCGGGTGGGGCAGGAGGGCCGCCGCTGTCTCAAGTGGCCTTCCTCCGATGAGCCGACTTGCAGGCAACCTCCGCCTGCGGACAGCAAACGCCCCGAAGGGTCCTCCCATGACCGACACGCAGGATAGAAATTATGCTACCCGTTCGAGTCCAGCGTGCTGGAGTCAGACCGTGAGAGCGAGTGCCTCGTCAGGGTCAGCGAGTTGAGCAGCTGGGCAACTCGGAGGATGACAAGACGCTGGGGGTTGTCCACTAGCGCTTGATGACAAGTCCGCCCGCCATTGCCAACAACTCGGGAGCGACTATACGCAAGCAGCTATCAAGTCTAGTAGTGAATCCCGTTCATGCTATTTCGCAAGTTTCAGCCGCCTGGCTGGATTGGGCAAATGCTTGCCATGGTGGATCCCAAGCAGCACGTAAGTTAAAGCCTGTTTTTTTTAATTCTGGGCCGACAACGGCCATCATTTGGGGGGGAGGAGGGGGCCAATTACGTCACGTTTCGCGCAGGCGGCGTCTGGGAATGCCTAGGAATGACCGAGGACGGGTAGCAGCATCATGTAGGTGGCGATCTGCACCACAGCGCACGTGTACACCACAGTGCCTGCGTGCACCACAGCGCCTGTGTACACCACACAGCCTATGTACACCACAGCAGCCGCGTGCAACACAGCAACAGTGTGCACCACAATGCCTGCATGCACCGCGGCGCTAGTGTACACCACAACGCCTGCGTACACCACAGCGGCCGTGTGCAACACAGCACCAGTGTACACCACAGTGCCTGCGTGCACCACAGCGCCTGTGTACACCACGGCGCCTATGTGCGCCACAACAACCGTGTGCAACAGAGCACCATTGTTGCATATTGAACTTTAGAAGGAATCCTCGTGACGAGCGCCTGTGGATTCCACAGAAAACAATTGTTTTACATATGATTTGGAAATGGAGAAAGGAGCTCCGCTGGAATCTACGAGTCCTCCCGAGTCCCCCCGCATCATCCTAACCCCTTCCATCTGCGTCCAGAAGGCTCCCGCAGAATTGGCCGTCCGAGAACCACATGGACTGATTCAATAGACCATCCTGCGGTGTACACTGAGACGCGCACGTGCGCTGGAGCGCCGACCCGCAGGACGGGGGGAAGGGTGAGGGAGGAGGAGGAGGAGGAGGAGGAGAAGGAAGAGGAGGAGGAGGAGGAAGAGGAGGAGGAGGAGGAGGAGGAGGAGGGAGGAGGCAGGAGAGGATGAGGGAAGGAACGGACGATGGCAAGGAGGATGAGTAGTCGGGTTTGGGATATATGTTGTTGTGAGAGTCTCTTCAAGGACGACCACGGCCACCTTAGGGGCTCTCTTAAGGCCCCGGTGGGCCCTCTTGGGGCTTTTGGGGGCCCTCTTGGGCCTTAGTTTGGGGGTATTGAGGCTCTCTTGGGGCTCATTGGAAGGGTCTAGGAGGCCTCTTGGGCCCCGTGGCTCAAAAAGAAGAGAGGGGGTCCTGAATTCAGGTCCCCCCCCCCCTCGGAGACTCAAACGTGACGTTTTGGAGCCCTCTTGGGACGCTCTTGGAGCGCTCTTGGGCGCTCTCGGGGCCCTCTTGGGGCCCTCTTAAGCCCCTCTTGTGGCCGTCTTGAGGCCTCAAAAGCCCATCGGAAGCGAAAACGCGAGAAGGCAAAAAACAGTGGTTGTCCCTCGGTGTTTGAAGGATGTTGGCCTCGTGGAGGATGCCTAGGAAGGCTCGAAGGGCACTTGGAACCGTCTTGGGGCTGCCTTGGGGCCTTTTCGAGGTATGTCGGATGCTATCTTGAACCATGTTCGGCGATCTTGGGCCATCTTGGAGGCCATCTTGGGCTCTCTGTGGCCCTCTTGGAACCATCTTGGGCCATCTTGTGCGCTCCACTCGGTCTCGCCCACCCCTTCCCAGGCCCAGGAGATGGGGGAGGGGGAGGGGGAAACCCTTCCCCCGAGCAGGGGAAGGAAGGATTTTGGCAGGGAGAAGACAAAACTCAGTAAACCACCTACGCCCAGAGGGCGGGTGTGACGATGCGGTGCAAGCTATACGGTGCTAGTTCTGTGATGCAACCTATGCGGTGCAACTTGTATGATGAAGGCGATGTGATGTCTGTGTGGTGCAAGCTGTGAAGTGCAAGCTATATGGTTCAAGCTATGTGGTATAAGCTATGTGATGCAAGCTGTGCGGCCACGCGAGTCGGTCGTGGCAAGCGCTGGGCCGTCACGTTGTGCGTGGCGCGGGGCGCAGAGCGCACGAGGCGCCCGCGAGGCGCCCACGGGCGAGCACCAGACGCACACTCTGCGCACCCGCCCAGCGCACGAGGCGCGCCCACGAGGCGCCCGCGGGCGGGCACCGGGCGAGCCCCCGGCCAACCCACCCGCTCGGCCGACCTGGCCGGCGATCGAGGCGCCCCCCCCCCCCTGGCATCGCTCGGACGTGCGCATTTTTTCTCGGCGAGAACCATCGAGGACCATCCTGGACCATCGAGCAAAAAAAAAAAAACACGCACGAAACCGAAAAATGCACGGGAAATGGACGTCCGAGCGATGGCAAGCCCCTGGCGAGCACCAGGCGCAACCCGGGGCCCGCCCATCCGGCCCTCGAGGCGCTCCCCACGGGCGGGCACTGGGCGGAGCCTCGGCGGACCCACCCGCGCACGAGGCGCCCACGGGCGGGCACGGACCCATGCAAGTCCACGGGCTGCACAGGGTAGAGCCCCGCAGCGCGAGCACCGTTGTCGGAATGGTGACTTGCCTCATACCGCTCGCACAGCGACCCGATCACTGCCCTGGAAGAGTTGATCTGATCTGCTCCACGCCCGGAGGAGTCGCCAACCTGGCCCCGCAGCTCAATTGTTCCATGAGATCTCACCTGTTCCGCCTTGACAGGGGGACCCAGGTGTCCCAGACATTGTCCAGCTTCACTTGCTTCCCTACGGGTTCTTTCTCATGCCGTGGCGATAATCTCATTTATTCCTCTGTACAGATCGCCGTAGTACCCTTGCAATCCAGAGTTCCTCTGTGCAGATCTCCGCCGTACCCTTGCAACGTTGTTGATGCACGCGTTCGTACTGGCACCGTGCGTATTACTTCCCGGTTCAATCCGGGCGCTCCCTGAGGATGATATGTGGCAACGCAAGCAGATCGCGCGCGTGCCACCGCCTCGGCGCAGGCTCTTCCAGATCTGACGGTCTTACGTATAGTTCGAAGTCGCACCAAAATAAAGTGTCCAAGGCGACCCAAGATGGCCCAAAGATGGCCCAAGAGGGCCTCAAGACGGCCCCAACAGCCCCAAGATAGGCCATGAGACATGTTTTTGGGGGGCGGTTTTCGGCTCCGATGTGGCTCGGTGTTAGTAGACGTTGGAGGCCACTTTGTGGCTGCACTGGGCTTGGACATTGGGGCCCAAGCAGTTGGCACGCAAACACATGTGCGAACCGCCCTCCTCCCGCGGCTAGGCAAGGGCGGAAGTTTTGCGACGTGGGACAGGGGGATGGGTAAGCCGTGAGCCCCATCCACGAAGGGCAAGAAGGGGGGGGGCAAGAGCTGACCCCTAAACAACCTACGCCACAGTGGGCTGGCTGAATCCCTTTTCTGGTCAAGCACGATCTGCGCCCAGGTGAGCACGCGAGGCGTTCAGTGGTGGTCAGGCTACCCATGGTGAACGAGTCAGCGAGCCCTGCCCAGTCCCACCCTCCCTCCCATCATACACGAATCGAGTGTGGCAAAACTTGATATCGGACTTGGAACGCGCTGCCACCTGGCGAACGGAAGGCGTCCGCAAGCGGTCCCGCTTCCGACGGCATTGGCGAAGAGAACAGCACGCAGGCCGCACAGGGGCCAGAGCGGCAAACCGATGGGCGCGGCGAAAGCGCTGCACGCGCTGCTTCGAAACAGCCACTGCTCCACGCACAAGCTGCGCGACGCTTGGGCGAGGACAGCCGCTCGTCCCGCTCCCGCGCGGCCCCGCTGCCGCTGCCGCCGCCCCCGCGATGCGGCGCACGACGCCTGCGCCGCGCACCTCCCGCGCGGGGACGCCAGGCCCAAGCGAAGTCTGCAACGGAGTCTGGGCGAGGGTGCCAAGTCGCCCGCTCGCGCGGCCTCCTCTTCCTCCTCCTCCTCCTCCTCCTCATCTCTCGTCCTACTCCTTCGTCGTCGTCCCCTCCTCCCCATCATCCTCTTTCTCCTCTCTCCTCTCTCCTCTCTCCTCCTCCTCCTCCTCCTCCTCCTCCTCCTCCTCCTCCTCCTCCTCCTCCACCTCCTCCTCCTCCTCCTCCTCCTCCTCCTCTTCCTCCTTCCCCTCCTCCTCCTCCCTCCTCCTCCTCCTCTCCTCCTCCCTCCTCCTCCTCCTCCTCCGCCTCCTCCTCCTCCTCCTCCTTCCTCCTCCTCCTCCTCCTCCTCCTCCTCCCTCCTCCTCCTCCTCCTCCTCCTCCTCCTCCTCCTCCTCCTCCTCCTCCTCCTCCTCCTCCTCCTCTCCTCCTCCTCCTCCTCCCTCCCTCGTCCCTCCTCCTCCTCCTCTCCTCCTCCTCCTCATCTCCCCTCCTCCTCCTCCTCCTCCTCCTCCTCCTCTCCTCCTCCTCCTCCTCCTCCTCCTCCTCCTCCTCCTCCTCCTCCTCCTCCTCCTCCTCCTCCTCCTCCTCCTCCTCCTCCTCCTCCTCCTCCTCCTCTCCTCCTCCTCCTCCTCTCCTCCTCCTCCTCCTCCTCCTCCCCTCCTCCTCCTCCTCCTCCTCCTCTCTCGTCCTCCTCCTCCTCTCTCTCTCCCTCCTCCTCCTCTCCTCCTCCTCCTCCTCCTCCTCCTCCTCCTCCTCCTCCTCCTCCTCCTCCCTCCTCCTCCTCCTCCTCCCCTCCTCCTCCTCCTCACTCCTCCTCCTCCTCCTCCTCCTCCTCCTCCTCCTCCTCCTCCTCCTCCTCCTCCCTCCTCCTCCTCCTCCTCCTCCTCCTCCTCCTCCTCCTCCTCCTCCTCCCTCCTCCTCCCCTCTCGTCCTCCTCCTCCTCCTCCTCCTCCTCCTCCTCCTCCAGCGGCAAAGACGCGCCGTGCTGGGGCGGTAGCGCCGCGTGCCGGCGGCAGCTGCGCCGCACGGCGGCGCGAGCGACACCTCTTCGCCGGCTCGCGCGTCGACGCGCTGGCGTGCGAGAGAGGGCGCCTCGCGCCCCCGCGCGATCGTTAAGTCGGGTCTGTCCCCCTACAGGGGGATTTTGGACGAAACATAAAAAAATACCCCCCCCCCCCAAAAAAAAAACAAAAAGGTAAAACAAAAAAAACAAAAACCAAATATATATATATATATATATGCTCCAACAATAGTCCCCAGACAATTTTTGGATTAGTGCTTGATTATGTTGGGGGTATTTTTTCATTTTTCGTCGAAAATCCCCCTGTAGGGGGACAGGCCCGACATTAGGCTAGCGCAGGCCCCCAGGAGAAGTCGGCGGGGCCCCGGGGCGAGAGAGCGGCACCTCGCCTCTGCGCGCGCGGCGTGCGCCCCGTCCCCCCTCTCTGCCGAGCGGTTTCGGAGCGCCCGCGTCAAAACGCACACGTCGAGAGGAAAAGCGTTGACTCTCTGTTTGGGAACAGATGCGGTGCAAATCCATAGCACGGACGGGGTAAGCTGCCCAAGGGCACCCTTGCGTCCTCAGATTTGTTCGGCAATGCGCCGCCAGAAAAGCTTCAACTGGGGCGTCCAAGGATCGTCCAAGGGTCTTGCGTCCTTACAGCGCGTCCTTACTACAGATTTTGACTGTAGGATGGGACGTCCTAGATGGAACCCCTGTCAGCCGTTTACGTGGCAGAGTGGGAGGACATACCAAGTAAGGAGTAAGAGCTGGGACGGCTAGGAACCCCAGTGGTCTCAAGCACGTTGCGATGCTTGAGCTTTCTGAACTGGCAGGTTGTTCTGACACGCGTGCCCTTGTGATGCGGCACGGGTCCTCCTCTGTTTGCCATCATCGCCCAGACCACCGCACCCTTGGCGTCGCTGATGGGCACAGATCCTTGCACCCCACGTACGGGTTCGCGTGTGCGACTGCCGCACATGACGGTGGGGCCTTCGTTAAGGAATGTGCACAGAATGCTTCAGACCTTGGAGGATTCCTTGTCTGATTAAGGGGCGGTGGTGATATTAATGGCCAAACGTAAAGTGGCGTTTTCCTGGTTTTCAGGCCCTGGATTCCTTATCCACGGGTTCCTTCTCGAATGCCTTCACCGTAATCTGTAGGACGAGAGGGGAAGCCCTCGGCTCCATTCTCTTTCCTTGATCGCTCCATTCGAGATTCAGCATAAATGTCGTTCGACGTGATCAAGGCTTGTCTGAGTGACCACCTCGTGGCGCGCGCGTGCTCTTCATTCATGTCGCTTTGCATGGCTGGTACTCCATTCGGTTACGGAGGTGGCGTTCGTTAAGGAGTGTGCCCAGGAGGATTCAGATCCTGGGGGATTCCTTATCTGATGAAGGCCGCGGTGATATTCATGGCCCAGCCTCAATTGGCGTTCCACCAGCTTCGAGACCCTGGATCTCTGTCCAATTTTCGCTTCGAGGTGCCTTGCCTGGGCGGCCGCACTTCGTCACACATGCTCGCCCGCCGCGAGGAGCTGCTCAAAAAGCTCCGGCAGAAGAGGGAGAGCTGCAGAAACGGGCGCCGGTAGCGCTGCGTTGTTGCAACCGCCCTGCTGGACGGCGATGGGCTCCATCGCTCCGTGAGGCGGTGATGGCGAGGCCGCGGCGCGGAATGATCGGCTCCGTTGTCACACCCAGTTCTGTCCCCAGGGGGAGAGCCTCACCGCGAATCCAAGAGGTGACTCTGCCAAACAGGCTGTAGGCGCAGCCGACGCCACGAGTCAGGAAGTAATCTGCCCAGCAGGTGCCGCCTGGAAACCATCCGAGTCGTGAAAGGTTCAGTGGAGGTGAAAGGGCGCCTCGAGACATCCATGCTGGCTCGAAGATGTGACCGCCACGTTCTGACTGCACGACTCAGCACGTCCAGTACGGCTGCGCAGCCCGCGGGGGATCTGTGGAGGAGTCTGAACAGCAGGATGCCTGGAGCACAGAGAGGGCCTCCCGCTTGCCCTCTGGACTTCCCCGGCTAGACCTCACGCCCCAGGTCCCTCCTCTCTGAAAGTCCTCCCAGGCCTTTCTCTCCTGGACCTCCTCACTCCTGGACATCTCCCCCAGACTTCCCTAATGGGCGTCCTCCCCTGGACATCTTCCCTGGGTCCTTCCACTCTCGATGTGCCATTTCAGGAGCGCGGGGTGGGTTCGGCTAGCCGCGGCTCGTTTGTAGTATTGGTCGGTGTCTTCCAGGCTGCGGGCATGTAGACGTGCAGCTTCGCGCCACCCCAACTGCCCACTGGAGTAGCGACCGACAATCGGGTAGAGCGCCTTGAATAACCGAAGCACGTGGAAATCATGGAATCCCAGACCCTGCCATCAAGAACGGCGAAGTTGTTCACTAAATCTTGGAGTCATGGGGAAGACGCGCTTGCTCGTGCAATTGCTCCAGAGTGTTAGAATCACCTCGACGCATTTTTCGAACGGATGTTCGCCCATCCCGCCATCGTGCTTGAGACGTGTACCAGGCGCCTTTGGGAGGCATCTTGGGGGCCTATTGGGGGCCGTTTTGACAGCCTCGTGGAGGCCTCCTGAGGCCTATTAGGGCCTCTCGGGGGGCTTCTTGCGGTCCCTTGGGTGCCTTTGGAAGGCCTGGGTGAGTGAAGTCGGAGAGAAATTTGTGTGTGATCGTTGTTAAGTGTTGTTTTGCCGATCGGCGCGGGCCCTCGCACCCCCCTCCCCCCACCCCCCATGGAGGAGGTCTTGGCTGTTTTGGGCGCCTGTTTCGAGCGAGTGGGCCCCCCCCATAAGACGCACTGGTGAAGACAGCCGCATTAAGCAGAGGCCTGGAGCCACAACCCCCCCTCCTCCCCCCTTCCGCCCAATGTCGAAACGCCGAATAAGAAATCGCTCACTTTGATCCAGGCCCCTCCTCCTCCTCCTCCTCCTCCTCCTCCTCCTCCTCCTCCTCCTCCTCCTCCCTCCTCCTCCTCCTCCTCCTCTCCTCCTCCTCCTCCTTCCTCCTCCTCCTCCTCCTCCTCCTCCTCCTCCTCCTCCCAGGCTGCCATTTGGGCCCACGCGCGCGGGGGCGCGCGGCGGGCGCATCCATCTGGCCCCAGCCTGCTGCCCGACGGCGGGCGCAGGCGCAGCTGTGGCGGCGAGCGGCCCCTGAGGGCGGGCCCCGCCGCCAGACTGGCATCGCCGCCTTCGCAGGCGCCACGCCAGTGCGCGACAGACACTGCGTGAGGCCGCCGCCAGGCGGCTCCTGCAGGCACACCACAGCAGTGCGCCGCCCGAGGAGCCGCAGCAGGTGCAGATGCATGGCGAGGCATGGCCATGCAAAGCGTCCAAGGCCTGCGGTTTCCGCAACAACTACTCGAGCAGGACGACGTGCTGGGCATGCGGCAGGGGCAGGGATGGCAGGCCCTCGACCGCCCCACAGCGAGCGCCAAGCCGCAGCAGGAGACCTCCTCCGCGCGGCGCCGAGGCGCCCTGGCGCGACTGTGATGATCTGGCTCATGCTGCTCCTCAGGCTGCTGGCGACGCAGCGGCACAGCAGTCTCCAGCAGTCAAGTCCAAGCGTGCGTGGCTGGCCTTACGTCGGATCTACGGTGACGGGCACGACCTGGTCATCGCCGCCAAGGCCGCCAATGACAAGGAGGAGTCCGCCCTGCGGGCTCAGATGGACCCCTTCCGACCTGCTCAGGAGCGCCAAAGACAGATGGGCTGCCAAGGAGTCTGAGCGTGCGGCCAAGGCCGCTCAGTTCGAGCAGATGTCCAACGAGCTCGCCGACGCTCAGCAGCAGCTCACCAGGCTCGAGGCCGAGACGACCAGCCTCAGTGTGGAGGTCGCCCATGCCCAGTCTGCAGTGGCGGCCGTGGCAGCTGACGGGACCCCCGCAATGGCTAACGTCTCCGTGGCCATCCAGCAGCTTCAGGCTGTTCTGGTATCGGCGCGCGCAGGCACGTCGAACATGGACGGCGCCAAGCTCCTCAGCACCATCGAACAGCAGGTCTCCAACACCGGCTCCCTGGCGACAGGAGCCCCACCACCGAGGGCATCGGCTCAGTCGCCTCCGCAGTCAGCCGTATTTCGCTCCCCAGTTCCAGCTCCACCAGCAGGACCTGGCACCCAGATGGCCGTCGAAGCTGCAGCATGGGAGAACGCGGGCGTCGACAGCTAGGAGGGCCCCACGAGGCTCAAAGCGCAAAGATATTGCAGCTGCTACCTTCAATGGTTCTTGTTGGGACACTTGCAGGACATTTTTGGCAGAAGGTACGACAGGGGTCAATATTGTGTGCGCTCAGGAGTTGAGACTCGACGGGGAGCGCCTGGCGCAGGCGCAATCTTGGGCTCGACGCAACGGCTGGCAGGCCTTCGTCACGCCCTGCCGCAGATTACCTACAGGCATGCCCAGTGCTGGCGCAGGGGTCTTTGTGCGCTCTCACTTACCAGCCACCGTCGTCGAGGGACCCGATGGCAAAGCAACCCATGACATTACACCAGCCTGGGCAGTGGTCATACACGTTGATGTGGGACTTACTGGAGGGTTGCTGGTGGGATCTGTCTACATGGAGAATGCGCGCACGACCGCCTACCTCACAGCCAACTACGGGCGCTATTTAAACTTGGCACAGCTTCTCAGATACATGAACAAGCCCTTCATCATTGCGGGGGACTGGAACATCAGCCCCCAGGACTATCAGCAGATGGGCTTGCCTGAAGTACTTCCTGCCGCTCTTCTCTACACCAAGGAGGAGGGCACATGCCGCACCCCGAAGGGTGACTACCACAACATTGACTACTTCATCACGCCCCCTGGCCTCGAGACGGCATGCAGATCGCCTACAACGATGGCGACGTGGCCAGCACGACCCCACAAGCCAGTCACCACCTACATCAAGGCCAAGCCGAAGGTCATGCAGATTCTCAGCATCAGAGCCCCAAGGGCTCTGCCCAAAGGACCCCCTGCCACGGAGGGCTGCCATCCTCTACATGGGCCGATCCCCACGCCAGACTACCTGGACATTGTGGACAAGGGTGCAGAGAGAGGTCCCCCAGCTTCCAAGGAGGAGGCGATCGGCCGCATGGATGCCTTATACGGCCAGTTTATTTCGCATGTCGAGAACGAGCTCATCGGCATCTACCAGGTGGACGATCCAGATTCCTATCGGGGACGTGCAGATGGGGCCCAATACACCTGGCGCCCGATTGGAGGTCCCAAGACTGGTCCACACCCAGCGGGAGGCAGCGAGCCGCGATTTCTCCGCGCGGTGGGTCAGGCGGTCCATGACCTGGTCGCCGACTTCCTCGTCGACTTCGGCGTCACCTCGCTGCAGCAGCTGGCGGGTACCCACCCCTGCCCTATCACTACAGGGCAAACCTCTGCAGATGACGGTCTACATCATGATCCTCAGCCTTCACCTTCGTCATCGACGACGGCCGCGGCGAGCTCGGTTCCACAGGTGGATCTGGGCGTTTGGAAGCGCCTGGCCGTCCCTGGCGCTATGGGAAGGCCGCCACCCCCTGGTGACGAGGATCAGGACGACGCCGAGGAGGAGTTCAGGGAGGCAGTTGCAGCTGGCGCCACCCGATGGGTGCCTGACCTGTCGGACGCGGACTCGGGGGGACGCTCATGGCGAGGATGGTGCATCCCCTACGTGATGGAGTGCTTGCGCCTACCTCAACATACTGCGTGGGTAGCAGCCGCCCTCGCGGACGGCAATTTCAACTCGATACGCGAGCTCGCCGAGGACATCTGCAACGACGCTTGGGGCCGCTCCTCCGAGAACCGAGCTGTCATCATCTCCTACATGGACTGGCTGGCAATACACGACATACCACTTGGGCGACACATGATCAGCCAGCACTGGGACGAGCTCGAGGAGATCAGGAGTGAGATGGGGAGACTCCTGGGCGACAGGCCGTTGCCCGACCTCCTGCCCTACTACGATGACCAGCAGAGCGCCTACGAGGGACAGCATCACTCTCATAGGAGTCAGGCTTTGCCTTCCTCTGATGTCGCCACGCCCTTTACCAGGAGAGTGCGCCAGAAGGTCTCCCAGGATCCCAGCCCTTCTCAAACGTCTGGTCCTGGCCTGGCCACGACGCCACCACAAGGTCCGACTGGTGGTGTCGAGCTCTTGGGTTCCAGGGGCTCCCAGGGCCCGTTCGGAGGACAGAATAATCGGGCGAAGAACGCGTGCAACATATCGGCCCGCACTGTCTCAACACCACGGCGCCGAGCACGCTGGACTCATCTCGCCAGACTGCTTCGTCCAGGACATAGGCAGGACGTACACACCGCCGAGGGCATCCAGTATTTCGATGGTGCCTGGGACATCATCCACCTTGCCTGCAAGCAGCCTCCCCTGCAGCGCCTCTTGTGCCTCCAGGCCTTCGGCGACATCATCATGCAGCACGTCGACCAGCTCGACAGGCAGGAAGGCTGGCATAGAGTTCGCAAGTTCAAGTCCTGGGCACGAGATGCGATGGTCACTGGCCCTGCGCAGGTATACTCGATCACCAGAGTGCAGCCGTGGGCACATGCGCAGATCAAGCAGGGGAAGACCACGACGTCGCACCCGCAGGCGATCGCAGACAATCAAATGGACAGCTGGAGAAAGATTTGGGAGGGGGTGCGCCGTGATGATGCAGACCTTCCGCGATCGCTCGCTGATCA